AAGACCATTTCCTACAACTCTCATGAAGACACCAAGTCCTAATTCCTTCATTTACCTTGTTAAAAATTCTAAAAACCGCAACAGTTATAAGCAAAGCTGGCAGCTTGACCCCTCTTCACTAAAATAGCCATATCTGGAGTTCTAGAACTCCTTTTTGAGTGATTCCAGCGCCATTGGAAAGCTAACATCCAAGGCTACAACTTTAATGAAGACTATAAAGTCCAATTCTGAAAATCAAATTCAGGCCCGGCGCATAAAAATCGCGCCCGGCGCAATTCTCAACCAGAGACCTACAGGTGTCTATTGAGCCCGGCGTAGTTCTCTCCGCGCCCGGCGAGATTCACCCAGGGATTCCCCATTTCAACGCACGCCCGGTGCGAAGAACTGCGCCCGGCGGAAATTCAAACAGGAACCCTCACCAACTACGAAATTTTCACCAAAACCTGCGAAACTTAACACAAAATACACATGCAATCCAGCCAAACGTTCCTATTTTCATCAAAGAGCTTAAAAATACCAGCTTTTCATACATGCAATCACAAATCATCAAAATCCCAAAATTTCTTCCAAACTTCCGAAACCCCCAAAACCCCCATTTTTTAGCAACCTCAGTTCAAAAGTCAGCAATCATCAAACAACAAATGAGTTTAAGCACTCAATCACAGCCAAACACAGTAAAATAACTAGCTTCCTTTACCTCGATGAAGAATCCGAGCTTCGGGATCGCGGAGAAGAAAGTGAAGAAGGAGAAGAAACTTGGAGAGAAGCTCCGCACAGCTCAACTAGCTCCGCCTACTCTGGATCAACACCTTCAAACCCCAAGTTGAGAGTGAATCAGCAAAGTGAGTAGAGAGTTTTGGGGAAGAAATAGAAATGTGAAGTGAGAAAGTGAGTTGAGAGGAAGAAAATGAGCAAACCAGCCACGGGTCTCACAATATAATTTAAAATAGATAATTAATATATCATGATGTATTAAAAAAATGAAAAAACATAATGCTATAAAAGAAAATTAAATAATAATCTTTTTAATTGAATCTTTTTTAAAAAAATTAGACTAATTTAAATAATAATTTATGTAAAAAATTTATTTATTTTTTTCTTGAGAAATGTATTTCTCTTTTACCATGCTTAATATTTTATTACATTATTAGATAATATGAAAATACATAATTTATTGTGCTTTCCAATTTTGTTAATGTACTGACCGTACCACAAAGCCGAGCTCCAAGCTCGACATCACAGTACTAGATGATCTCGGGCACGCGTCATACGACGTCAGCTTGGCATCACAGTGCAAGATGATCTCGGGCACGCGTCATACGATGTCAGCTCGGCATTCAGGTGAATCACAACTGATTCCCGAGGATCTCGCCCATACAAGAGCCATTATCCAATCACCAACCACCGAAGATCTCGCCCCAGACGAGATCCGCTATCATATCTTATCTCAGGCCCAGAGCCCAAAGCAACCCTAATTCACTCCAAGGTACGTGCATTACTTATACGAGACTATTACTCATACAAACCCTAACTTTAGCATTGGAGTCTCTTTTGCAGGTACCACCCCCATCTTGGAACACAAGCGTACCAGTGAAGGAGGCTCACCGTTTTTACCTGGTGGATCAGCTCTACAGCAGATTTTCGGTAAGAACATTTGGCGCCCACCGTGGGGCTGATCGAGACAGCTCTTATCGGCCACTCGTATGGTATTCACCAGAAGCCACAACAGACGTGCAACAAAGGACGCTGAACACTTAGTCACCATGGACAGCGATGCTGCAACCTTGAGAAGGCTGATCGACCAAGTCGAACAAATGTGCCAACAACATGACATTGACCTGCGCAACATGCGTGCCAAGCACGAAGCCGACCTGGCCGCAATACGAACCACTAACGAAGTTGACCTAGCGGCTCTGCGCGCGGCAAACAAGAGGGTTCGCACTCAACCCCAGCGGCAACACTCTGATCACCCCTCCGGCTCTATCAGAATTTGTCACACCATCCAAACCAATATATAAGCAATTCAAACTTCAAATTCCATGAGAAATTAAATTGTTCAGCAGATTTAAAGCATTAAAATTGTTCCGGAATTAAAAATATTACACCCAAATTGAAATGAAAATCCAAAAACAGAATTTAAATTTCCTTATTAAAACAGAACAGCAAAAAAAATAGAGCATCAATTTGAGTCTTTAGGCATCCCAAGGTGAGTCTTGAGTCGATTAATTTCATGATCAAGGGTATCAAACCTATCAAGAATACCTGAATATATTGACTTATGCCTCCTACACATCTCCATCACAGCATCAAGCTTATTAATCATACTATTGAGACAAACTATGATTGAGACTATTACAAATGAGGACATGATGTACTAAATGAAATTCTGTAATAAGTTAAATGTTGAGTTCATGAAATAATGAATGTATGACATGCATCATATGCATATATTACTCCAGGTGTGCCGCTGAGGCCGCATACCAACGATGCTAACAAGGTGTACCTTAGGGTCACCG